ATTAAAGAGCATTCAGCTCGTCAAGGTTCAACAGGCAAGGGTGATCTTTCTCCATTATCCAACCCTTGTATGATTGTTGGAGGATGATCAAATATATAAAAATTTTCATGAAAAGTGTCAGAAAAGTTGGCTACATTCTTTTTCCTAATCTTCCAATCTTTGTGGATCAACTTTCTTGTAAATATTTGAGGTTGAGTAAGATGACAAAATAAAGCTTTCATTTGGTTGCTAGAAAGTGGGAATAGAATGAATTAAAAAATTAATATAAAAATAAATTAAATCATCTTTTTTTTATAGTAAGTGTAATAAAATCCATTAATATTAATATATATTATAAATGAGGGAATTATCACACTCTTTAAAAATTTTATAAATTATAATTCTTAATTTCATGATCTAAATTTTAAATTACTCTCTTTCTTTATAAATGTGATTTATTATTCATTTTAATCATCTCATTTTTACATATATTTTTTTAATTTATTTTATTTCATTTATTTTTAATTAATTATTGTACCATTATGTCATGAATGAGGATAATTGATAGTTTCATGGGCAATTAAAGCGAGTTACGTTGAAATTTTTTGCTTGTTGCCTGAAACGTGTTAAACATAAGTTGCAGCGACATTTCACATCGGCTGTCGGCTGTTTTCATTTTTACTTTTTATTAATTGTTTCCAAAACATATATTTAGAGCATGAAAATTGGATGAGATAATAAAATTTATAGTCCCTCAAATTTATCTAAGATATTAGTTTGATTCCTTAAATTTAATTTTTATGAATTTAATTTTTTATATTTTCTTAAATTATTTTGTCAGTTTTTTAAGTTTCAAAACATAAATTAACTTTTAAAATAATCCAATACATAAAGTCTGTTGATAACTTGGTATGTATATATAACTAAATGAGAACGTTGGCCAAAAAAAAAAAATGAGGACAAATAAACCTTCACATTAGTTTAATTTTTATTAATATAATCCTTTTTAGTGTATTTTGTTTTCTTGTTTTTTAAAATTTTAGAGTCAGTTTTTCCTCTACTACTTAATTTTTCTTCTTTTCATTAATCTACATAGTTGATATCAATATTTTGCTATCCATATGAGCAAATTTTAATAATGTAACCTTTTTTTTGAACAATAGAAACCAAATCAATAACTAAATAAATTTAAAGGATTAAGTTGATAAAAATTAAATTAGAGAGATTAAATTAATAAGTAAGACAAATTTGAAGAATTAAAAATTACATTATCTCAAATTAAAATAATTTTTATTACCAGTGATTGTCTTGTTGAATAGGGTTAAAAGTTAAAAATTAAAGGAAAATACTCTTATATCCTTCTATTTTGCTTTAATTACACAGACGTTCCTTCTATTTTAAAAACATACAAGTTAGTCCAATTATTTAACTCTGTTAGGCATATTCAAAACATATTTAAAAAACTTATTTTTAAATTAAAATTTATATTAAAATAAATTTTACTTGCTAATTTACCCCTTACTTTAATAAATCCTAAATTATATTATTTTAATAGTTATATAATTTCATTATAAAAATATATTTACAAATTTTAAGTTTAAAATTTAAACTATTTATATAATCTCTCGAACTTATATCATTTTATATTATGTGATGAATAAAAATATATGTTTGAAATATGTTCTTAGCAGTATTAAAAAACATAAATAAATAAGTTTCAATAAATTTCATGAAAAATAGAATTTTATAATATGTTTAAAATAATAATTTTATAATATATTAAAAAATTTAAAATGTATTTATTATATGTTTTAGTTGTATAGAAAAAAAATAATTTTTTTTGCCAAATATAAATTTTTAGATAATTCTTATATTAGAGAAGGGTGCTTTGGTCAAACTAAAAGTTTAACCGTCAAATTTAATAGTCAATTAATATTTGGATGAATGAAAATAGAATTTTAAATATACAAGGGAGGTTTATATATCACACCTTTTAATTTTAAAGAAGGTCTATATGAGTTTTTAAAATAAAGAGAATGTCTATGTAATTAAAGCATAATAGGAGGGTCGTCAATATATTTTATTGTAAAAATTATAAATGAAATAAGTTATATTAAAAAAAAAAACCATCTCACTTACAGCGTTAATTTAAGAGTCACAATCATTTAACTCGAGTTTGAATTGGCTTGAATGCAGAAAATTTCTGTAAGACGATTACTCCCAATTCATGCCAATATTCGAATTTAACATGATCAGGTAATCATATTTAAAAAAAAAACATCTCAATTAGAAATGATAATCTCATATTTGACCTAATGATATTATATAATATATTAAATATAGTTGTATAAAAAGATGTTTGTTTTTCACAAAAGTAATCATTTTAAACTTTTTTATTCCCTCCGTTAAAAATTATAAAGTATTTTTTAAGGAGTTAGATGTTAAAAAATATAAGACATTTTTAGTCTTTCAAAGTGTAATCATTGCCTTTTTTTTAAAAAATGTCTCTATTGATAGTGATTTTATATTTAAGAAAAATTAATCTTTTAATTTTTCAACTTTTAACTCACTTGTAACTCAGTCACTTAACTATGACTCGCTGCAACTCAATTTCTCAATTATAACTCGATGCGAGTTAGTCCCTCAACTTTTGATTCACTCATAATTCGGTCCTTATTTTTAAATTTTTAAAAAAATTTTTTATCAAATAAGAGGGATAAAAAATGCTCGTATGTTATTCTAAAATACCCTCCTCTTACTCATTGATGTGAGATCTAAGCTAACATAAGAAAAATTAAAAAAATTCAATGACTAATTTGTAAGTATTTCAAAAGTTAAGAAACTGAATCATAGATAAGTCTTAGTTGAAAAATTAAGTCACAGCGAGTCAATCGTTTCCCATCTCATCCTCGCAATTTCCCTTATCTCACTTTTGATTTTGGGTTTGTTTTCGTGAATTAATAAGTGTTAATTCTGCATATGCACCATGGTGCATTGACATGTTCGTTGTTGTGCATGGCATAGAGAGTCCTTTATCAATTTAAACCTTCCTCCATGCCATGACCCGCCTAAACTTTGACCTAACCTTCTTCTAAGGCTGTCCAAGGATCCAAAAATCATATTAATCTCCCATAAATGTCATTAATCAATAGTTTATCTAAATTAACTAAAATACCCTTAGACACTGATAATTCCTAACTTAAAAACTTAGGATGTTACATGCTTCCAACTCCAGGTCTTCAGCGGCAACGTCAATTGAAGAACACATGCTCCAATTCCAGATCTTCAACGGCAACGATGAAGAACACATTAAGCGACCAACAATGGCGATTTCCTCCAGCGATAGCATTCCTTCACCAACTGTAAAGTCCACACCCTCACTGATAATTTTGCTTGCTCTTTAATTGCTGTAAAGTCTTCGATGAATCACTGCATAAGCTCCAAGTTCGTCTTTGATAGGCTGAGTTTTTTCAAATTCTCATCCCACTAATGCTTTTGATTTCCCCCAGTGATGGTGTTCCCAGTTCCCACCGACAACTGCATCAAGCTGCCACGATCGTTTGATTTCTTGTATGTTCTTGATTTGGATTATTGCGTTCTTGCCTTTGATTTCTGGTGTTCTTATATTCTATGTGTTCTTGTTCTTGATTTGGATTCTTGTGTTCTTAACTTTAATGGTGTTTTTCGATGACATTTGAAGGCCGTGGCCATGGTGGGTCAATTTTTTTTAATTTCAAAGGTATTTTAGTCTTTTCAAAAATATAATACAATATTAAATAATTTTTATATCTCACTTCCACCAATATACTAAACATACTTTTAAATCTTACTTTCACTTTCACCAAAAGCATTTCTCCATACTAAACGAGCCATAAAAACATGACTAAAAAAGAACATAAGATATGGCATACAAAAGTATATAAAACGAAAAAAAAAAAAAAAGGGGAAAGGAAAGAAGAAAGTTGAGAATTTTACCCAACTAGGAAGAGGAGTGCAATACAAAGCAACAACGATTGAATTAATCAATATCAAACAGAGAATGAGCGAAGCACACGACAGCAACTATCAGAGACCAAAACAAAAAACAAAGATATCAGATATTTACGCAGCTATTTTAGTTTATCTTTAGGGGCATTTTAGGTTATTTATAATTTTTTAATTACAAGCAAGGATTCATTATTGGAATTTCAATAATTTAGAGTTAATAATTGTAATTAATATCTTTATAAGGTCTGCAATTGTCAATTTTCCTATTGTCAAAGTCAAGTTTTCCAGTTTCATTAACTTAGTTCTATAAAGGGGTATTATTATATTTAGAATTAGAATATTATACTTGGAAAATATATACAATTGAAGAGCAGGGATCCTTTCTTATTTTTTATGAATAAATTATAGTGCCAACAAAATCCTCATATTAATAGCATGATTTGATCTTATAATCTTATAAATTATGAGCCAAATCATTGCTAGATGAATAACTCATTATTGGTTGAGTAGGGATCCTTTATATATGAGCAAGAAATAAAGTTCAATCCCTCAGCTTGAATCAATGCCATGAACTATGTGTATGTGTGTGTCTAATGAAACACCCATTGAACCTTTTTTTTTTAATCCTATTTATAAGATATTTTTAATTAAGTCATGTGAATTAATGAAGGTGATTTTAAAATTAATTTAGAATTTTTTTTTCAAAAATTTCCATAAAAATCTCCAATTATGCTTAATTACAATTAACGTTACCTTTAAATCTAAAAGTCAAATATGGCACTCAAATGAACTAATTGAATATGTGAGATTTTTTGGAAGTAACTCATTAATGTTTTACCAAATTTTATAAGGTGTTTTATATTAAGAACTAAATAAAATTTCTTAAAGACATGGACAGAAGAAAGTATATAACTTTGTGAAAAGGATAAATTAAAAAATGAAGAAATGTTATACTACTAGCTTTATGTGGTTATAAAATATATATACGTATCACCTTGTTTCAACGTTTGTTTAAATTTCATGGACCGTGTTGAAAAAAAAAAAATAAGGAGGATAGTATATATGTTGCATGCCATAGAAAAGGAACGACCATCACATGCAGAGCGCCTAGAAAGTGATTAAATCTGGAAGAGGTGGATTATAAGGTACGAGGCTATAGAATGATTCCTCTAGAAAGGGGTTAGAATTGGCCGATGCAATTATACTATTATTCCCATCATTCAAACCTCTATTATCGTCCTCAAATACCTCCCATTTCTCTGTTATCACTGTCTCTGAACCTTCCTTCGATGGCAGCACTATGCCCTTCTCTTCCTTTTTCTCCATCTCTATCATCTTCTTCTCGTCTTCCCCATTGGCCATTCGCTCCAGAGTTCGAATGTTTTCTTCAGAGATTCGTTCAACTTTGGGGCTCCGATAAGCATGGACTATCCCCATTTCTCTGCAAAACTCGAAGTAACAAGCAAGTTCTTCCCCTTGTATTGCAGCTTTCTGCACAACACGAAGCCCTAAACTGGCTTCCATTTTCCCTCCCATGTCATAAATTCTCAAGAGGATTCGAGACATCTCTCCGCAGAATTTACCGTACAGATCGGACAGCTCCACGACCATGCAATCCATGGCTTCCAGAATCAGGGCCACGTTGTTTATTCGCTCGTTCAGAGGCCTGATCTGGAGGATCGTGTCGATTAGGGTTTGCATCTTCTGCAATTTCTCCAGCTCTTGCATCAACGTGTCCTCGATCTCCTTCCTCTGTTTGCTTCTCTTTTGGTATTCGGACGACACAAACGCTGATCGCTGATCCAAATACGTAAAATACGAACGAACGAAAGCATTGAAGCCCCATACCTTGTCTGATTTGGAATGGCGATCGGTGAAATCGGAGAGATCAAAAGGTAAGCGTCCGATTTTCTGTAGGGCAGGGAAGTCGCAACAGAAAATTCCATGGATGAGCATTAAGCCCTTGAGAGCGACGGGCCAGCTACGCGTCTTCTTCATGCGCAAGGACAAACTGAAAACGAGAGGTTTCAGGTGAAGCGGCGAGGCGGCGAGCCATTGCATGACTCTCTCGACGTTCTTGTAGTCGATGTGGCGCTCATCGTGGCTGGTAGCTTTGATGACGGCCGTCTCGAGAACGGGGTTCCGGAGGATGGTGGGCGGAGCGAACTTGGCCGCCCAAATGCTTCCTTTGTCTTTGATAGTTCCGGTGACCCTTACCCACGGCGTCATTGTTTCATTCGCCGTGAGATTGGATTCTCTTGCCGATGACGAAGGCCAACGCGTGCGATAACGGTTCCGAAAACCAGCCACTGCTTCTACCCCTGCGTTCCCTCTGCTTCTTCCTCACTCATTTTTTTCGTTTTATCGTCACCGTCTCCTGGTTTAGCGTTAGGCGCTTAAATTGACTAATTAGGGATTATTGTTTATATATATTGTACTCCCTCCTCGCTTATTTTATAAGTTATATTCTAAAATATTTATTTAATTCAATCTATAAATGATGATATGACTTTTTAAATAATATTTAAAAAATATTTTTAAAATTACTCTTAAAGAAAAAAAATAATATGACATTGTTTTTTGAATTTATTATATAGAGATATATTTAAAATTTTATACATTTTTATTTTTTATATTTTTTTTATTGATATTAATGAGATTGATAAAAATAATTTACAAAGAAGATGGGGAGAGCAGGGGTGATTAATTAGAACAAACAAAACTGAAATCCAACGAAATCAATTATAGTACGTATACGTACGAAAATAAAATAAATACGTTACATTTTATTATCCTCCAGAACCAAACTTAAATTATATATACCCATATAGGTAGAATAGAATAGCAGGGAAAATGAAATAAATTTTAAAAAAATTATTAATAAATATTGTCTACTTGTATATTCTTAAAATGAGACATTATATTTTTTGTTGTTATTATTTTTTAAGTCCTCCATTGAATTAATAACACGTGTGTATGTGTGATTTTATGTGTGTTTTTTTTGTTTATATATATGATCAATTTTTGTTGTTAATATAATTTGTTTTCTTTGTTAATATCATATGAATTATTTGCTTTATCAATTAATTTATTTGTTTTATTGCATTTCTTTGTGTTTATTGTGCTTTATTCATATAGTCAGTTAGTTTATATTTGTGTTTATTTATATTGTGCTTCATTATAAATTATATTTTTTGATTTATTTATGGTTATTTATTATTTTAGTGTGTGTGTGAACTTTTTTTTTACTATAATATTTATTTATGTATTATGCTTTATTTATTAATTTTGTCATAATTCTAATTGTTAAGCCTAACTCGAATTGAGCCCGATCCAAATAAGTTCAGCTCGCCCAAATTATTAGCTCTAAATGAAAGTAAGTGCTAGTTTAATATTCTAATTTATTTAAAAAAGCTTTCTTAAGTCAAAATCAAATATATTTGCTAACGCTAAAATTTCGCAATCTCTTGAATGAGTAGTGAAAACAAGTTTTAAGCACAACTCTTAATGTGACTATAAATGGTTAACAAAATATCTTCATTTTACCAACAAAACTATCCATTTATCTTTGTAAATTTTAAATCAAACATTATTTTATCCAAATTATATATCCAAGATAGCTTTCTCAAGCACAACTTACATAAACAAAACAATCCAAAAGGTAGTCAAACATTTAAAACCATTAAGCATAGGATAAAATAAACACACATATATCATTAACTATCAAAAAAAAGGAATAATCAAGTCATAATCCATATAGAGATTTGAAATAATCCTAAAATAAGTAAACTAGCTGCTCATGTTAAAAAAAAGAGCAACAAACAACAAATTGTTTAGCACTCATATCAGAAACACAAAGAGAAAAGATAAGGGAAGTAGAAAAATCAAAGAAAATTCACTTGAATTTCTTCAAATCTTCTCCCTCAAGAACCTAAAACCCTAACAGAACTAGCCTCAAAAGACCTCTAAAAATTATGTTTAACTCTCTAGAGGCATGGACATTATCATATATAACCCTAATTTTTGCTTCAGCAGCTAAAATGCACAGTAACAGTTTTAGATGTGCATCGTGGTGCACCTAGCATTCATGAAATTCTCTTCTCTCTATGCCATATGCTGCAACATGTGTCCATGTGTCACGACACATGGCACAGAGATCTTGATCTTCATTTGTGATCTACTTTTGACTGTGTTTATGTTTTCAAATACATTCTCAAGCATCAATTTGCTCTCCAGTAAGACGATTACCCATTAGAAGTCACCTGAAACAAAAAGGCACATTATGAAATCTTTCAAGGATTAAATCAAGGCAATATTTTTTTATAAAAATTTTCAATAAATTCTATCATCAACGCTAAATTCAATCAAAGCTCATTTTTCTATATTTGAATCCAAAATATTTACAATTGAACCAAATAGTAAATGAAAGTATAAAAAAATGTGCTGAATTGGCATCAATTTCAATATGTTATGAAAAAATAACTGATGAGGACTTATTATAGAAGAAATTTTTTACTTTACACGTTTCAAATGTGCTCCTACAGCAATAATATCATGAAAAGGGTTTTAAAAAGTATTTTGAATCAATATCTTAGCTTCTTGTGGTTGAACAAAATAATGAGTTGCTAATGAAAAATAATGAAATATGTCCCACTAGATTAGCTCCACTCCTTGAAGTGAGTGTGACTATATGTAGCAATTACCATGGTCAGGGTTGTGGTCATGGTCGTGGTCGTAAAAATGGTCATGGCAAGGGATGTGTTAGTTACTGTTATCATGGTGATGGTGGTATAAATTATAATCCTAATACCTATCGAAAGAAGAAAAAAATGAAGGGTAAAAAAGAGATAAGAGCGATCCTTCAAAAACTATTGAAAATCAATGTTATCAGTGTTGTATGAAGGGACATTGGTCACATACCTATCATTTGCCTAAGCATAGAGCAAAACTTTATCAAGCCTTCATAAAAAAGAATACAAATAAAGTGGAAGCAAATTTCACTTTTCAAAATGATGATATTGAAGCAAATTTTGCATACAAAAATAATGATATTAATGAGTTGGATGATATTAAAGGTCTTGAAGCTATGACATACTTGGAGGTGACTGATTTTTTTGAAAATCAAGATTAGAAAATTTTGGTTGAGAAATAATTAGAAATATGTTTTATTTATATTTTCATTTAGCTTCCTTATTTTCTTGTAAAAAAAGCATTAGTGCTTGGAATGAATTTTCTTTTGTTAAGTATTTTTTAAATACATTTTCTTTCTTTTGTTGAAGAATATGGATAGTTCCCTTTCTTTCATTAGATACAAGAATGAAGATATATGTCTCGTGGATAATGCTACAACGCACACCATACTTAAAGATAAAAATTATTTTTTCTTATTTAACAATAAGATATGGAAGTGTCAATACCATAACAAATAATAACAAATTAATTAATGGCTTCAAAAGAGCGATTATAATATTACCCAAAAGAATAAAAATTATTATAGATGATGGATTATATTCATCTAAGTCTTAAAGAAATTTGTTAAGTTTTAAAGTTATCTACCAAATGGGTATCATATTGAAACTACAAATGAGAAAGATATTGAATATTTGCATATTACGAGTTTTAGATTTGAAAAGAAATGTGTCTTAGAGAAATTATCCACATTATCTTATTGTTTATACTATACAACTATTAGTATGATTTAAATAAATGTAATAGTAAATAAGAAATTTACAAATCAAGATACATTTATTGTTTGGCATGACCAGTTAGGCCATCCCAGATCAATTATGATGCAAAAAAAATTAAAAATTCACATGGACATCCATTAAAGAACCAAAAAATTCTTCAATTTAAGGATTCTTTATATGCTGCTTATTCTCAAGAAAAATTAATTAAAAGACCTTCAATTGTTAGGACTGAATCCCCTGCTTTTCCTGAACGTATCCAAGGGGATATATGTGAACTTATCCATCCATCACATAGACCATTCAAATATTTTTTTTAATTAATGCATTGACAAGATGGTCACATTTGTATTTGTTATCCACACAAAATTTAGCATTTACTAGATTAATTTCTTAGATAATTTGATTAAGAGAACATTTCCTAAATTATGCAATTAAGACAATTCATTTTGATAATGTGAGCAAATTTTCATCAAAAACTTTTAATGATTATTGCATATCAATTGGAATAACAATTGAAAAATCTGTTGGTCATGTCCACACTCAAAGTGATCTTATAAAATCATTCATTAAATCCCTCCAATTGATAACTAGATTAATGCTCTTGAGAACAAAACTTCTACTTCAGCATAGGAACATGCGGTTTTACATGTAGAAGCTTGAATAAAAAATAAAGAGGAATTTCTTTCATTTGTTGCTTTATCCTATGACGGACACGGACTTGAAAAGTTGTAAATATGTATTACTTCATCCAATTGCTTCTTCATCTCTAGAGCATTTGTCGCTATAAGCTGTGAAGCAAATTTATTAAAGAAGACAACTAAAGCATTTCCTGATTCATCACTTACTGTGTAATGAATTTTGAGCTTCGAAAAGAGAAAGACATGGAGTAAATTGAAAATATTTCATATCAAGAAATGGTGGAGTCTTTCAATACTAAAAAAAAATCTTACTTTAGTTGAATCATATGAGGCTTCCTCTTACAATTTGGACATCTTTTCACTTCATTTTCCAAAATAAGCTTGCTTCCACACCTTGAACATCCCTCATAATGCCATCCATGCCGAGTATCAAGTTTGATTATTTCACAACATATAAGAAAATTATTATCTTTCAAGATTGACCTTAATAAGTATAAACTACCCTCATCAATTCATTTTCATGCAAATTGATAATTTACCATAGGCATGTTAGTTATCTCAGATATCTTGGTTCTTCTATTAGCACGCAACTTGTTTGACACAAATGCCTCAGATGATTGGCTTGTCATAAATTGATTGATAGTACTTGTGATTGGGAATGACAGAGAGCTTGCACTACAAATCATCAAATAATATGGTCCATTTAACAGAGATAAAGCAATACTCAAAAGCAAATAGAGAAGTAACACAAACCTTTGAATGAATGTCTTGACTTTTCAATCTCAAGACTGAAACATAACTTTATAGCATGATAAGAGCTTCACACCTCAGTATCCCTAAAAAAATGGTCAACAAATTATAATTGACTCATAAAAAATAATTACAATCTTTACATCACACAGAGAGAGGGGGGAGGGAGGAAGGGAGGAAGGGAGGAAGGGAGGAATAATGTATGAAACTACCATCTTTATCAAAACCAATTTGGCAAAGTTACA